AACACAATTATGCCCAATCACACTCACACCTAAGCTTAAAAGTCTATGCAAAATGTGCTTACTTCATATGTAAATGAGCTCATTTAAAAGTTATTGTAAATTACAGAAAGTACGTGCTCACCACACATTGGCCCCCATCCGCCTTCCCCCCTCCCCACGCCCCCCTTCCCCCTTCGGAACACTCAAACATGTAACACGCGTGTTTCTAATATCGTAATTTTGTCACTTAATTAACCGAAAATGTCGTTTCGAGTTTCGTGTTTCGTGTAAATGTGGCGCACACGAAAGCAAATATACTCGCACCCCTACATATATACATACCTAACAAACCGCCAACTGACAGCCAAATTATATGCGAAATGAATGAGATATTCCAATCTTGGCTACGACGAGTCGAAGCGCCCCCATCCCGGAGGTTAACCTCATGTGACAACAATGCAACCACGAATTTGTATACATATGTATCTCTAGCAGACATATTTGTGTAGCTAGTCCAGGTGGGAAGAGCAACAAAATTTGCATATGTATGTATCTGTAAGCAAGCATTTATTTATTTTATATGATTGTGCAAGTTTTGCGACACAGCTTAAATTCCGCAACCTTGAATGGCACAATAGCAAAATTCATGCCACGCATATTTAGAGGCGCAAAGGCATTTGTTTCATTAGGCTTAATTTTAAGTTGATGTGCTTCAAAACCAACAACAATGACAAATCTAACAATTTATTGTAATTTTGTATGGTAACAACAATTTAGCTTGGAAATGTTAGTAAAGCGTAAACTGATTTTCTTTCGATGTATTGTCGATAGGCGCGTTGGAATGCGGTGGCTGAAGGGACTAGAAGTTTCAAAGCTTTTTGGGAGATATTTTAACAAATATTTTTAATGTTTGCGTGTGCATAAGGGTACATACATGCATATACTTATATAAACATGTAAAATCATTGAAAGTTTTTAAATCATGTATCCCGAAGCGGGGAGTCACTTTTCACTCTTGGTTTCCATGGTTTTACTATGGGCGGATGACAAATTCTCGAGTGAATTTTATTTCAGGAGAAACTCAGGATAAGGCAGTTAATTTAAATTGGTTTTGATTGTGGGGTAACGAAAACAATTCTCAACGTCAACAATTTTGTAAATCACTTTGACTTTCACTTGCTGAGGCTTAAAGGGTAGTTATTGAAGGATGTTATTTTTTTTTTAGAAATTGGGATGTATGTTTTTAGATTTCGAGCACTTTCAATTAGGGTGTGCGCACTTTCCTAGTTAACAGGTGAATAAAAATTTGTGAAGGGGGCCACCATAACACAACGATAAAAGAAAAATACAAATTTCACAATTTTTCGAAATTCGAATTATTTTGGAAGTTATAGCTAATAACATTTACGGAATTTTTTAGATTTTAGTTGTTTTCTCGCGATTGGTAATACCGATTCTGGTGTTTCCTTCCCATTACTATTTTTTATTTGGACATAAATTTTTTTATAAAAGTTATTAAAATTTTTGTAAATATTACTTACATCTACGTTCGTACGTCCTCTTCGTCATCGTCATCGTAACTTCTATTAGCAATTATTTGCCCAAAAAAAATTGCCGCAATTCATCGAGACGAAAGTTACTCACGCTTTTTTCTTGACGCCCAATGTATTTTGTATGGAAAACGGTGAAATGAGTATCGCACGCGTGCTAGACTCGCTGTCAATCGATACTTGTTGAAAAACTCATGCGAGGTAAATATGTACGGCAAATGTTTTCTATACAAAATACATTGGGCGACGAGAGAAAGGCGTGAATAATTTTCGTCTCGATGCATTGCAGCAAAATTTTTTTCTGCAAATAATTGCTAATAGAACGTACAACAATATTGGCCCAAAAAACGATTTTAAAGCCATTGCGATGTCACTAATATTTAAACAAATTTTAATAACTTTTATACAAAAAAATATGGCCAAATAAAAAATAAAAATGGGAAGGAAATACCATCATCCTCTACTGTTTAAAATATCGGTAGAATCCGTATTACCAATCGCGAGAAAACAATTAAAATCTGAACAATTTCGAAAAATATTAATAGCTATAACTTACAAAATAATTCGAATTTCGAAACATTGTGAAACTTGTATTTTTCTTTTATCGTTGTGAAGCATAAACATATAATTGCACAAAAAAAGCTCTAAAATTATTTCGGAATAGTCTATTTGATTGTTGTAAGCTGAAAAAATATAACCGGATAACTTGATAACCGGACAGGTGTTCAGATGATTATATAATTATGATTATAAAAAAAATTAGGACAAATCGAAATACTGAGTAAACAAACTCTCAGCCTCCCAAAAAACTAAAATTTGTGCTGTTGACTGATAAAATTTTTAAAAGTTTTAGAAAAAATTGGGAAAAAATTAAAATTTGATCAAATATTATTCCTAAAGCTGAATGGCGCTTTGTTTGTAAGTGTATGAGTTTGCAGTTCCCCGACAGTTTTGAATTATGGCTATCAAGTCATTTGGTTAAAAATAATTTTTCTCAAGTGTATTTTATTGTTGCAAACTAAATAAAAGAAAATAACCTCGTAACCAGATTAAAGTACAAGTGGGAACACCCACAATGCAAAATAACAATGGGGGTATCAAGTATAAGAGAAGCTACACCAGAATTACAAAAAAAAAAAAAATGGAACAAAAGGGTGAATAAGTATTGCTAAATTTCCTTTTAGTTAACTTTTTCCTAAATTAATAAAGTAAGAAGGACGAAATTCGAAACTGTTGTAGTGTACATAATAGTTCTTAGTTTTCAAGTATAAAGTTTTGATAGGGCATTTTCCATACTTATTCGTCCTTGTGCACCAAAATACATATGCTTTTTTCAAATCTAGAAAAGTTTTTCTTTTATTTGATATCCATATTGTTATTCCACATTGCACCGATATCTTTAAATAATTCATTTAATTAATCACATCTTTTAAAACGAAATAGGGACAATTTTCCCTTGACCGTTTCCTTAGGAGCTGGATACTAAGCTTAACGCTGAACAAGAATGGTCTTTTTTTTCTTCAATATTATTTCTTACAGTTCTTATTCAATTTTTTATAAACTATTTCTGCTCATTATTGTCACTATTCTTACTGTAATTCGCTCTTTTATTTGTTTGTAAAAAAGTAGATAATAAATAAATAAATGCTCAAAACTTCTAAAAAATTGGCCCCAATTATGCGGGCACCACTCGTATGTGGCCACCACTCGTAAGCGCACAAACACAGTTTGTTTTATATTTTACTAATTTAACAAACACTGTTGGATGTGCGCAATTTCGCGCTGCGCCTAAACTCGCGCCACTGAACCGAATTAAGTTTTTGTGTTAAGTGAGTATTTATAAGGGGAATATCAATTAGGGTCAAATATACGGGGATCAATGGTGACCAACAAAAAACCAAAACACTACTGAAGCAAATTTTCTATGCATGCAAAAATACGAAGCCAACAATTTACATCATATATCTACATATATACATAATTCTTTGGCTTTTTCGAATCACTCACCAATCCCTTTCACCAACTCAGATGAAGATTGCACAACTACACTTTAATTTAATTACAAAAACACTTGCTTGGGCCGGCCCGAGCCACTCGCGCACCGCACCGAAACTATATCGCCACGAAAACTAACAAAAAACACTGCTCGCACGAATATTTATTGTACAAATATTTAGAGTTTAACAATTGGTGACGCTTACAGAATCTAAACAAAAGAAGAAAACCATTCTCAACGTCAAATTTTATACATCATTTTCACTTGCACTTGCTGAGGCTAAAAGGGTAGTTATCAGAGTGTGTTTATTACGATACCTCTAAACAATTAATATTTTTTTTTTCGAAATAGGGGTGTGCACACTAGGGTGGTCCAAAAACAGCACAGTCGGAATTATAATGCTCTTACCCCCAGGATTGTTCTATAACGAAAAAATACTTCTTTTCGGTCTAGAACGATCCTAGGGGGTGAGAGCATAAAAAGTCCGACTTTACTTTTTCACATGCATTTATGGACCACCCTAGTGTTCACACGTGCATGGCTATCGTCATTTGGTTAATTTCAGAAGTGTATTTTGTTGTTGTAAACTATATAAAAGAAAATAACCTCATAACCAGATTAAAGTACAAGTGGAACACCCACAATGCAAAATAACAATAAGAGAATTAAAAATATTTTTTTTTTGACAAAATGGTGAATAAGTATTGAAAATGTCCTTTTAATCAACTTTTTTCTCTTAATTTAATAAAGTTATAAGGACGAAATTCGAAAATGTGGTAGTGTAGATTATAGTTCTTAACATATATTTTTCCAAAAATATCTAATGGAACTCAAAAGAATATTCAAGTATAAAGATTAATAGGGCATTTTCAATACTTATTCGTCCTTGTGCACCAAAATATTTCTTTTTCAATTCTTTTCCTTGGGAGCTGGATACTGAGCTTAACGCTGGACGAGAATTGTCTTTTTTAATTTTATCTCCAATATTATCTATTACTATTCTCTTTGGAGTTTTCTTTTAAGATATTTGTGAATTATTTCTGTTTATTATTGTCACTTTTCTTACTGTAATTCTCTTTTTTACATTATTGTGAAAACGTAAAAAAAAAAGAAAAATTAATAAATGCTCAAAACTTCTAAAGAATTTGCTCCTAATTATGTGGCCCCTAAGTACATAAAAGCACAAACACAGTTTGTTTTATATTTTACTAATTTAACAAACACTGTTGGATGTGCGCAATTTCGCCATGCGCCTAAACTCACGCCACTGAACCCAAATAAGTTTTTCTGCTAACTGCGGATTTATAAAGGGAACATAAATTACAATGAAATATAGGGGGATCAATGATGACCAACAAAATACCAAAAAACTCTACTGATGCAAAATTTGTATGCATGCAATAATAAGAAGCCAACAATTTACATACATATATCTACATATATACATAATTCTTTGGCTTTTTCGTATCACTCACCTTATAACTTTCACCAACGCAGATAAAGATTGCACAATTACACTTTAATTTAATTACAAAAACACTTGCTTGGGCCGGCCCGAGCCACTCGCGCACCGCTCCGAAACTATATCGCCACGAAAACTAACAAAAAACACTGCTCGCACGAAAATTTATTGAATTTGATAATTAATACACTTAGTTTTCTTAATTTTAGAGAAAACTAACACTTTTCACACGCAAATTTATAATTTTCAGAAATTTAAACACACACCCGACGGAAGCAATCGCGGCACTGTTGAAATGGCGTCGTTAATTTAGTGAAGCGCAGAGGTGCATTTACACAGAGAAATATGTAGCTAATAAGGTGTTCACAGTGTGGGTGTAGATTGACTAGGTTAAATTTTAGGATTATACAAGCATATTTTAACACAATTTTGATAAAATGTATGCGCGTAAATTTAATAAATACAGAAATATTTACGTGGTGAAAATTATACGATTTTGTTTGTCTATTGTTCAAATCTGGAACTCTGTACTCTGGAAATAAATGGTAGGCAATTTATTGGCAATGCATTGATTGCATTGGGGAATGGGAATATATATAAAAATATGATCGTATTACGGTCAAGCGAGAAGTAGTGCCAGTAAAAACTAGACTTTTCAATCACAAAAATTTACTTTACAAATCTTGTTAAAATATGTAGAGTTTAATAATTGGTGACGATTACAGAATCTAAAAAAAGGTATACTAATCGACGACAATATGTCAGTGGTATATTTTCAAATACTTACAGAAAAAATTAAAAGTACATATACTGACTTAATAAAAAGTTTAACACTTAATTTTAAATAAAAACTTTATAAACGCTTCCTTCCTAAACCGAAAATTTGCCAATCAAAATTGTTTGAATTCACTGAGAAACCTCGTATTTTATTGAGCATATATTTTTAAATACTACTTATTATTATGTAAATATTAATCTCCACCATTTTATGCTCCTAATCAGTACTTTTTATTATTATTGTTTTTATTCACGCAAGTAAGTGCCAATTTCAAATGGATATTTAAACGGCACTTAAGTTCAATTGTGGATTGTTGTTTAAATGCCTTTTAGCTTCCGTTGGGTTTCAGATCAAATATGCCAAACAATTGGCAGCCCTGCTGCTTGTTCCTTGAAATTGTTGTTGCATTGATTAAACAACCTACCTATCAATCTTGGTTGTTTGGTACAAAAACAGGGTTGCATATCTCATATTTAAATAGCCAATACTGGCCATTTAAGACTATGCTAATTAGCTGGGGAAATTAAGCTTTAAATTGCGGCATTGAGTTTGGTGTTCACACACCACACACGTCAGCTGCGCAATTAGCGATACGAAATCAGGTGCTGGATTACCTACAGTGATGGATTGATATTTTTTAATCACGTTATTAACAGTGTTAAGAATTATTTTATGGTGTTTTTTTTTCTACCAAAATAATGTTGGCCTCGCAGTGTTCTCTTCGCATAAATACCAAGAATAGGGCAAACAAAAGGTAAAATATTTTCTAGAAAATAAAACGCTATTAAACAATAATAGATACTGAAAAGAAAATAAGGGAATTGGAGATTTCCCGACCTGCAGCCGGCGACTGGTCCAATTTGTATCAAAAGCTGGTTTTCTACGGTATGGTAATACCAAGAAAAAAATTGGAGGGCCCGGTACAATAATAGAGATTGACGAAAGCAAATTTGGCCGGCGGTAGTATTATTTTGGACCACTGAATGTAAGATCAATGCGTATTTTGTGGTGTGTAGAGGAAGTCGAACAGCTGTTTCCCTGTTTCAGTTGAAAAGAGAGACAAGGAAACCCTGCTGGACATAATTGAGGTGTGGATTTTGCCCGGTACCACGATTGTGTCAGACTTTGGACGGTCAGTTATAATATTATACATATATGTGCTGTGGTTTTATATTTTACAAAAATGTTTTTACAGGCATATGATTGGCTTAAAAATGAAGGACACGTGAACCTCCGGGTCAACCACTCTCGCCGCTTTAAATATGCAGAGACCCAGCAGCACACCTAAAACATCGAAAGTATTTGGAGGCATGTTAAAGGTTCAATGCCGTAGTATCTTTATGGTTACCAAACTTGCGTTTCATAGGATGGACTAAGAAAAATTTTCGTCCCGGTGGTTATTAATGTCAAAATTGTGTATTTGTTGTAATTATTACTAGCATAGTGCATACAATTTGTTAGTGATTTTTTATTTTTTTTTGTACAACTGTTATCACCTTATATGTATTCCTCTTGGGATAAATTTTATTTTTATATAAAAAAACATAAGAAGTATTTAACATCAATGCAATATTTAACAAGAAAACTATATGTACATAAAAGTGTTCCCGCATCACGGCATCCGTGATCGAATGAAATTCGGGTCGAATCGAATGAAATGGAATAACCGCTGCTTTTCTCCAATACAATTTGAAAAGCTCCCTACCGAAAGGTCAGCAATTTAAACTTACATCTTTTTGCTTTCTCTCCGGCAAATATTGCTAGATTTTTAGCCCTTGTTAGCAAAATTGGTAGAAAATATAATATACATAGGTACAAATTTGGTAGATTTACCAATAAAATGGTAGAGTCCGTACACTGATTGTAAAGGCCTTGTCACACGATTGGTACATTTGTACGTTTTTTATATTAGGCTATTGGTGGATACAAATAAAAAAATAAAATAAAAATTGGGCAAGCATTTTTTTTGCTGTCACACGATTGGTAGGTACAATACAGCGAACTTGCGTTGAAAAACTTGTACACATTGTTTCTGTTGATTGGCATAAAGAAAAATGTTTTTATGATTTTTATTTATGTATTTACAAATAAGTTTTCTTTTGTTTTTTTTTTCGGTTTCGATTTTACTGAAAAACTCGTTGCGTTCAAAAAAATTACGTTCAGGAGAAATGCCGAACTAATTAGATTAAGTCCCTAAATTATTATTCACTTGGTCATTTCATTTCATGAAATATTTCAGAAAAAAAAATTTCAGTTCAGATATATTTAAAACATTAACCCTCTAGTAGGCTGAACCGCCTCCAGACGGTCGCTAACTAAACACGTATTTAGAGCACCTATAACAATTTTTTCTATATTCGTAAAGCACGATCTTTAGAAAAAAAGCGTATCTTTACGACGATGTAAATTTCAATCCGTTGTGTCAATCCGTTTTATTTTAATCGGCAGTTAAATCACAGATTGTGAAAGACTGTTAAAATTAATTATTTCTTGCTATTAAGTAATTTCGTAATTAAAGAAATTTTTTCTTCTGAAACATTTTTTGATACAAAAAAATTCAGTGGATTTCGTTGTTAAAAGCACAGTATTTTGATATAAGTTTTATAATGATGTCACCATTCGAAATGGAGAAAATTGCCTTCGAATACAGACCGTCTACAGACCGGCTTGCCGACATATAAAATCCCAGTTTGCATTTTTGACCGTCTGCAGACGGGTTTGCCGGTTCGTAGGTCAACATTGTGTAAGAGAAATCTGAAAATACGTCTAAGTATATCGGCGAGCCCGTCTCCAGACGGTCTTGGTTTTTCTCCCCTGTAAGAAAAAGTTACTGTCACAGATCGAAATAGACATCATTTTTGGATTTCTCGTTCTAAAATCACCCATTCCTGAATTTTTCAACTCATACAAAAATTGGCCTACTAGAGGGTTAAAGGTCCAGAATAAATTTCACCATCCATTTCCGAACAAAAACAAAAAAATTTATAAAATAATTTTTTTATCTAGCTTGATCATGTTATAAAGTAAATAAATCACAGACCCCCGGTAAGTTTTACCGGGTACGATTTTTAATTAGCGACAAGTCAGCAAAATTTTACACAGTGACTTATTAGCGTGCACGTAGCGGGCATTCGCAAAATTGAAACCGCTTACCGGTTAAAACAAAAATACCGGTCCTCTGTAGTTAAGGGTTAAATCAGTGTATTTTTAATTCTTCGATGAGAGCTTTTATAACACATAACTAACGTATTGCCATCGGATTGGCATATCTCTTCACTAAATTCTATATTCGTCACCAATTATTAAACTCTAAATATTTTTATTGATTTCTAAACTATAGTACAAGATTTTAAAAATAAGCTTTTATGATTTTAGTTTTTACAGGCATCACTTTTCGCATGACCGTGGTACGTTCCTATTTCGATATAGTTTCACTCTTCAATACAAGCCATGCAAATACTCGTACCTTGAACTATTGCCAGAGTATATGTATATTTGAAACATACTTAAATAAAATTGTATACATAATTTGTTGTGTATTTATGCATTTTTTAATTTTATGCGCAATTATTTCATCAAAACTTTATTAAAATATACTACCGCTTGGCAAATCCGAAAATTTAACCTAGTCAATCTACATCAACACTGTGAACACCTTATTAGCCATTGCTCTGTGTAAATAGTTACACCTCTGCGCTTCATTGAATTTCCGATGCCATTTCAACAGTGCGCGTTTGCTTCCGTCGGGTGTGTGTCAAAATTACCGAAAATTCTAAAATTTGCGTGCAATGTTGTGAAAAGTGTATAGTTTTCTTTAAAATTAAGAAAACGTAAGTGCTTCAATTTGCAAAGTAGATAAATACTCGCTCCAGTAGTGGTTTTTGTTAGTTTTTGTGGCGATATAGTTTCTATGCGGTGCGCGAGTGGCTCGGGCCGGCCCGAGCAAGTGTTTTGTTTTTTTTTAGTGAAATTGAAGTGTAGCTGTGCAATGTTCATCTAATTTGGTGAAAATTATAAGGTGAGTGAATTGAAAAAGCCAAATAATTATATGTATATGTAAATATATGTATGTAAATTATTAGCTTCTAGTATTTGCACAAACTCTTTGTGGGGTTTTTGTTGGTCATCATTGATCCCCCTATATTTCATTGCAATTTATGTTCCCTTTATAAATCCGCAGTTAGCAGAAAAACTTATTTGGGTTCGGTGGTATGAGTTTAGGCGCTTGTCGAAACTGCTAACAGCCAACAGTGTGTGTTAAATTGTGTTGAAGCCTGTGAACAGTTTGAGAGCCTGTATGTACATATAGTGGTGGTGGCATCGTTAGTGACAATTTATTTC